CACCAGCCGCAGACGCAGAGTATGGCGGTGGAGGCGACGGCAGGAGGAGGAGGGGATAGGTTTCCGCAGTGGAGCGTGGAGGAGACGAAGGAGATGATAGGGATAAGGGCAGAGCTTGATCAGACGTTCATGGAAACTAAGAGGAACAAACTTTTGTGGGAAGTTGTCTCCAACAAGATGAGGGATAAGGGTTTTCTTCGCAGCCCTGAACAGTGCAAGTGCAAGTGGAAGAACCTCTTCACTCGCTTCAAGGTTTCTTCTTCTATATTCTATCTTTCTTTCTTTTTTTGCATATGCACAACGATATATATATTAATCTGAAATGGGTTTTTCTACTTGAGATAGCAAAGGAATTGTATAGTTTATAATTTGATGATCTCTTATACCTAGATTTAGGTTTTTATATTTGATGATCCACTCTTTACACTTGGCGAGGTCGTGCATGGAACCCTTTTTCGTTATCGGCTTGATGATGATATTTATAAGTTATATAGCTTTCTAAATATATATATATATATATATATATATATATATGGCTGTATTATATATGTTATCTGGGTTCGTGTTATGGCTATCAACTAGGGATGTGAGACGATGGAGCCGGAGATGGCGAGGCAGCAATTCCCGTTCTATGATGATATGCAAGTGATTTTCACATCAAGAATGCAGAGAATGTTATGGGCAGAAGCCGAAGGAGGAGGAGGGGGAGTAGGAACTAGTGGCAAGAAGAAAGCCAGCTCAGAGCAGTTTTCCTCGGACGAGGAAGATGAGAATGTAAACGAAGAGATGGTGAGTGAGGAACTGATAGGAGATGTAATCAGCAGAAACCCGAAAAAGCAAAATCCGAGGAAGAACGTTCAAAAGAAGCGAAAGGGCGGTCTCAGTAGTGGCAGTAGTTATGGTAATATGGGTATGAGGGAGGTGTTGGAAGAGTTTGTGAGGCAACAACTGAGAATGGAGAGGGAATGGAGAGAGGCGTGGGAGGCGAGAGAGAAGGAGAGAGCGGAGAAGGAGGAAGAGTGGAGGAGGAAGATGGAGGATCTCGAGAAGGAGAGGTTGGCCATGGAGCGAATGTGGCGAGAGAAAGAGGAGCAGCGACGTGCGAGGGAGGAAGCGAGGGCCGAGAAGAGGGATGCCCTTATCAATGCTTTGCTCTCCAAATTCACAAGAGAAGGTTCTCTCTGATTTAGAGCTCTAAAATGATTTGATCATTTTTTGTTTCTCTTCATTAGAAAACGAGGACCAAATCATTTAATTTAAACCGAGTTCCGATGATTATGGACATAGGACAGTTGAAGAAGATAAAAAGGATAACAACATTTAGCTTCAATATTATCATTAGAGGAAAATGGATGCCTTTCTAAAATGACTTGGTCACCAAGGTTCCCTCTCTCTCTATTTCTTTAACTTAGTTTTTTTTTTTTTTTGTGGGTTAAAGCTTCTGATCTTTAAGGTTAGAATCCAACACGCAAATGTCATCAAAGGACATTTAATTTTTACCTGTTTATAGTAGGAGTTACTTGGATGAGTTATATAGATACGTGGATTTAAGTTATGATCAAATAATATATATATTTTTTTATTATGATGATGTCTTTGTAATAATAATTAAGTTGATTAGTTTTACTTGCCTTGTTACTGTTTTCTTTAGTTGGTCTCAAATTTTTCGAGGGTTCTGTACTAAAAAACTGTATTTTAAAATTGTAATTTATAATAAGCATTTGATCAAAATTAAAATTTTAATTTTTTTCTTTTTTTTAAACTATGAATAATACTGTAATAGATAAAAAAACATATAAAAATCTAATGAAAGATGTAATAAAATATATACAAAACTAATGTATTTGGAATTTTGGATGATATTTTAAAAACTAATTTTGAATTGAGACGTTTTTTAAATTTTGTTACTATTTTATTTTATACATACAAACTGTATCTATTGGTTTACTTTCTTAATTAATATAAATAGTCCATCTTTTTTTTTTGTATTTTTGTCATCTGATATGTATTGTGGGGGAAAAAGGTCTATCGTAATATTTTAAACCAATATTAGTTGTCTTTTTGAAAGAAAAAATTGACATTTTTTTCCCAAAATATTGTATACACACACACACACACACGCATCTTTATCCTAAAATCAATGGTTAACTTTTTAATAAACAAAAAAAAACACCCCGAAAATTCTGGGTGTTATCCGTCGTATAGACCTTATAGCCGGTCCTGTGGCTGTATGTAACTACGTTACCGCTTTCAAGAACTAATGTCTTTAAGATATCATGAAAATTCATGCAAATATTATATGTATTCGTTTTTCTTTTGGGTTTATGAATGCGGTCGGGCAAAGATGAGAAACCCTATAGAGCTGTTGATATATATATATATATGCATGTGAATATCTTTTCATCAAAAAAATCTTTTCATTATTATTTTTTGGACATAATTGTTTTGCCATTATCTAAAGAAATCTTTCGATCATCGAGGATATCGAATTCTGTCCGATGTTGGGAGGGGATAAGTGGCAGACATAGTGATCTTTCTCCCACATATAGATTATATTTATTTTTGGTACAACTTTATATTGTGATATATGATATCCTTTTTTGATAAATGTGATATATGATATCTTACAATGATTATATCGACATGTATATACTTGTTATATATTTTTTTTTTGTAATATCATATAGTATTTGGATAATGATCATGTAAAACTTGTAATAGTCCATACAGTTGGTTTTAATTTTATTATATTTTGTTTTTTTTATGAAATGTGATTTTTTTTGTCATCTTAAACATTCACAAACAATATAATATATAATAACAACGTAACTATAAAAAAAAATTACCAAGGAAATAGATAAACTACATCTTCTTTTGAATATGATTGATTGACGAAAAAAAATCAAATATAAAATTGTTTTCATGCAAATTCTAAAATACTTGTCCCACAAATTCTATTATGATCGTCAATATTGATGGGCGATGAAATGGTTTTTGAATTAAATTACAAGCCAATGAAAGTTTAAATGGCAGTAAATATTTCTAACTTCTGGAAGTGGGAGAGCATAAATTGTTAAATTGCAGACCGTCTTTAATTAAAGGGGGAAGATTACAAATATGTCACACGACACAATCCCCTTCTGGTTCCAAAAGCCCCAACTTGTCTCATTGATGAACCATGGCCAATGAAATCGATCCGCTTATTTTGATTCGTTTTATGTTTCTTTTGGATACTTTGACCTCCAGATATTATTTTCCAACTTTAGATTTTCAATGACCTTCATTTACTATTATTATTATTATTATTATACTATTGTATTTTCTCTTTAATCGGTCAAGATCCTTTTTTAATCCTTCTACTCAGTCTAAATTTATATTTTAAAGATACACACACATACATGTGTATATATATACACACGTATCAATGCTTATTGTTATATGATTAAAATTCTATAAGAACTAATTAATGCATAAAAAACAATGAAATGTATGGTCATCTTTTGTTGGGCAATGAAATGAATGGTAAATGCTACGAAACAATTTCAGAAGCCGACAGATTTAGAATTAATTTATTCATAGAGGATAGAGCCAACTGATTCGCTGACTTTTTGGTCCTTTTATTTCCCCCTCCCAAAAGTCAACAGGTTAAGATCGGTTAATTACGACCGAGAAAATAAATACACAAAAGAACATACCCCCATTTATCGTGAGATTAGTTAATTACGATGATTTTTTGTATGGGACTTTTAAACAAGTAAATAATTCATGATTTAAATTGATTAGTGTTTGCAAAAAAAAAAAAAAGAGAGAATAAAAAGGTCCGCGTGAAGTGTTTCTTTTCAAATTTAAAAGTTACAGGGTAAATAATAAATATAGAAGAACATTCAATATTATTGAAAAATATAAAAGATTTTAATTTATATACAATTTAGATATTAGTGTGTTTTCTATTTAAATTGAATTCCGTCAAAATCGCCTCTATCTTTTTTGGATGTATGCTCTCAAGTCTCAACCCCTTATAAGTTAAGTAATTGGATACCTGAACGACAACAGATTCCGAATCTCGAAAATAAAAAACCGTTAACGAACTCAAAATCAATTTTGACCGATTATTATAACCCAACAATAGGGGATGTAGCTCAGATGGTAGAGCGCTCGCTTAGCATGCGAGAGGTACGGGGATCGATACCCCGCATCTCCATCTTTGATTTTTTCTTATATAATATTCCTTTGCCGTGTGCGCGTCCGTAAAGCAGGCTGGTCCGACCCAACCCGACTCATTTCGATATTCGATATAAGAATCTTTTAGCCCATTTTAACTCAATCCGTTTTTCAACGAGTCAAAAATATATCAATCTCAATCCATATCGTCTTAACCCACGAATCAAACGAGATAATTATATTTAAAATATAATAAAAATTTAAAAATTTTAAACAAAACAAATTAAATATATAATAAAAATATTTAAAATTATACAAAAATATTATAAATTAATTTTTTTTTCTGATCCACGAGTCAGTCCGTGGACTCGCCGAGGTGATTCGCCACGAGTCCGACTCATGACGAACTGATTTATTTGACCCAATTTTTTAGGCTTAAATATTCTGAATCCGGTTCGAAAAAATATAGACTGACTCGCCGAGACAGCATGCGAGGCGTAGTTTTACGTTCCTAGTGCTCGTGCTCCATGTAGAGGAGTGGTTATTTGTAGATTAAAACGGCATTCATCCACCTACGAACCTCACGCAGTATACATATCCTTATTCTACGTACCCACCCCCAAGGAAGATTCTGCACCTTTTACATTCTCAAATAGCGAGTGTTTCATGAAAATGATACACACATATATATATATATATATATATATATATATATATATATATATGTCATAAAGTAAACCTTGCTGCTGTCCAAAAACGGGATCCGGGCCATGCCTAGAGTCTGTAGCTATGTGATGGCTTTTGTTTCGTACAATAAGATGGACGGGTCATTCTCTCGAGCTTGTGAGATCATGGAATGATTTCGTCCTGGATAAGGGTATTATTGCCCACATAAACCTGTCGCATCTCCTCTCTCCATATCTGCAAATGCATCCAATATAAAAAAAATGTCGAAATCGTCTTTTTTTAAATGCTCTTTAGTAAACATATATAAATAACTTCTTTTATAATATACCGTGTGGCGGAATTCAACCCTGATGTGGGGCACATTCGTCTTGTGGACATCGTTCCCGTCTGGTCCCCTTTTGTAGTAATCTTTACCCATCCAGTGTGACTTTATACAACACACAACAACGCACGAGAGGATGAGTCCATGTTAACAGTAGCTGAAGAATCCTGCATGTGAGCAGAGTTGTGTATGTTTACCTTCTGGGCATGTGAGAAACCTGACTGGTAAACCGAGTTTCGAGCTATCTCACACAGATCACATGAACTCAACTTCCACACCTGCATCCACACCACCGCAAAAAGTCTATCAACATCAACATCGCCTTAATCCCCAGTTTATTTGTTGGAGTCGGCCGCATGAATTCAGAATGAACACAGTCAAAGAGGCTAGAAGACTTACAGAGGCAGCGATGCTGTATTCTTCCAGGAGAGGCTCTTTAGTTAGGTGAATCTGGAGAGGATCGTCCGTTGAGAGGGAAACATTGAGTCCCCTTAGGAAAAACATGGGAAATGGGTTTCGGTGGTAATCCAAAAACAAAGAGTTGTTGCTCAGAGGTGACATTGCCAGACCGATCTATTCGAAACACAGTTCCCGGTTAGATGTTCTCCTTCTCGCATTAAAAATCATTGACTTCCAAGAAAGAGGACCTCAATCAAACCTGTGCAAGGTAGTAGAGATACTGCAGCACGGGAGATTTCCGCAGATTGATTCCATGCGAAATGTTGTGACAGGTGAGAAATGTAGCAGCAAGGTGGTCGATATCACCTGCCTGATATTTGTAAAAGCTTCCAACTTAATACATTATCTGATACAAGAAAAAAAAAGATTTTGATATGCACAAACAAAGTAAACAAACACCTCCCCAGAATGCGGCCGCAGCTTGATTGTTGTTAGGCCCTTTGACTCGCGAAACTGAAGGAAGATAAAAGAGATATCTATAGCTTAAAGAATTTACTATAACACAAAGAAAGTCGAAGAAAGAAGTCGAAGAAATGGCACCTTATTTAACACGTAGAGGTTAGCGTAACAATAATACAGATAGTATGAAAATGCAGGGTTGAAGGCGTTAGTCCACTCGGCTGGAGTGGGCATGTGTTTTGTTGGGCGTCTTTCGGGTTTGCTTTCATCATCCACCAGGTCGAACCCAACCACCTGGAATGCAAATCAAGAGACAGCCATCGGTCAAGCTATGAATATATTGTCAATGAGACACACAGATAAAAGACTCTGTATCGATGTAAACCTGATTCAAGAAAACATGAAGTTGGGGGTGTGAATTGGGATCCACCGTGACTTCAAATAACGGAATGAATATATTGTCAAGGATGTTCTGGAAAGATGTCACTATGCCCATCTCCTTGTACACGTTGTACAGACGTGGAAGCTAGTGGGCAGACAGTAAAATTTAGCTCAGTACATTGTGTGTGTGAGAGAGAGGGTGAGAAAGCAATACAAAACACCAAATTGATGGCAAACCTGAATTAACCAAACAACATTCTCGCTGTATAAATCATTGTTCACAATCCAACTAGCCAGTTGGTCCCACTCACTCATTTTTCTGCCATATATAGAGATTCTGTATTCAGCCATCTGCAGCATTTACAGAAACCATCAGGGCGATCAATACAATCTCCCTTGACAAAGGCTGGTTGACAGAGAAAACAAACAGAAACTCTTACATCTGATCGAAGGATCAAGTCAATGCATCATATTAGCACCACAGAAGTTTACATCAAGCATAAAAAGTCGGGAAGAGGTGTTCTTTTGTTATGTGTTGGTCCTCGTTAATTCATAAGACAACAGCACATACCAGTGTGAGTTATGTGTACAGGTGCTAGTGATGCAAGCTGCTTACCTGATATTTACTAGCTTCAAGGTCCAAAATGACTTGCTTTGTTATCTCGCCAAGAAAACGGCCTGTGTCAAAAGATAAAAAGAAAAAAAAAAGAACCAACAGGTCAAGTTTTGGACTCATCAGTCATTGCCATTATATGCGTGTGCATGACAGTAGCACAAAATATTTATCCATGTCAGGGAAGAGTGACTAAGATAATAATGGTTACCTTGGATGAGATTATCCTGTTTAAGGAAAATCTCCCTTAGCCTACTTTGACCACAAGGATTATACTTAAGATTGAACTTGTCAAAACGATGAAAGGTACTCTTGTCTGCATGAACATCCAAAAGATCGACGTTCAGATCATACCTGGTACAAGAGGAAGAGGATTATGTCTCAAAATTTAATGGTTAAAGGCCGACACATCACAAAGAGGCAGGCTTAATGCATCTCGGCAACAATTACGTGCTCTCTATGGGAGTCATTAAACCGTTTTGCAGACAGATAAATAGGGTGATTTGAAGTAGTATTCTTGGAAATTCTCTGTACAGGAACATATGGATATGCCATTACCCAGTCAAATCCAAGCTCTCAAAAACTTCTTTCAAGGTCAAATACGTCCCATCTCGAAATATTACAACCTGAATAGAGAAGAGCAAGAGAACATAAGTTCCTCAAATTGAAAAAAAAAATTTGTCTAGACTCTTGCCTGGACATATAAGTTATCAGTTACCTCATCGGGTTCTTTCCTGAGCTTTGACTTAATAAACCTTAAAAGGTGTTTCTGGTTCATGCAGGCTGAATGATGAATATGAGTGTCAACCTTCCTGACGTTATAAAAGTCACGATGTGGTGCACTTTTCTGAGCGAGGAATTCTTTATCCGCATTAAGCATTAAATGGAGATTGAATTTCTGAAATCAAGAGAAACGCCATCAACATGTGAAACTTTATAATCAACATTCAGTCGTAGTTGTCTATTCAGAAGCCTCACCTGTTCAAGGAGCACCAAACGACGATGGCATAAAGTTCGAATATTTCCCGCAGCTATGACTTTAAGTATGTAATGCAAGTCGGTGAAAAATGTTGTTGCATCAGCCACATGGAAGAGCTCTTCTTTTGCTGGTAGCAAAGAACAGTGTAGGGCAAAACAAAAGGAGTGAACACAAACTAATTTTGCACCAACGGGACAATGAAGCGTTTAAATTTAGACACTCAGCCCCTTACCATCTTTGTTTGCAAACACATGGACAATGCCATCTTGCATCTCAAAGAAATGCTGTTAAAAAATAAATGTAAGAAAATTTAGATTCACTTTAGTTTGCATTTTGTCCTTCGCAATATTAGCCGTGTAAAGAAGCATTAACTCACATCGGATTTCCCCTGAGGAGTGTATGCGAAAGGCTCTGGATTGGGCTTAGGGGTACTAGGATCAGATATGACTTCTTTTTCCCATGGAGCAACTGATTCTCTGAAGACATACCTTTTCCGCAACTCAAGACATTCTTGAATACATCTATACGATTCAACTTCATCCGGTGTTGGCATCTCTAGCAGAAAATATATGTAAGAGACAATAGAAAAACATTTCCCTCGAACACTAGCTGTCGCTACCCATAAAGTTTCAGCTCCCACGGAGAGTAATGCATTTAATTCAGAGTTTCTTTTCATATTCAAATTCCAAAATATAGTTGATTAGTTGTAAACATGTCAACTAATCAACATGTTTACATACATAAACATGTATGTAAACATGCCATGATTGGTAATGACAGGACACTAGTACTGAAATCCAAGCGATTCTATATATCGCGCACAATAGTTACTGGAATCAAGTGAGACAACCCATAAAAGTGATCAGAGTGGTGGTTAATTACCCATAGGGGAAATGTTAAGACGGACAAAGGATTCTTGCTCTGGCTCTTTACGCAGAATGTCAGCCGCTATAGGATCAGGCTGAACTCCATGCAGGTCACCAGATACACTGTGGGATCGAATCATGCTTGAAGCAGCCATGGTTATTTGTTCTCCATTGTCATTTGCAGCCTACATGCAGATCTTAAGTATAAGCCCAAACACCAACTCCCTGTTTTCCCGCTGAAACGTAAAGACGGACATAAATATCGAATGTTGATTAAAGCAACTCACCGTATCCCCATTGGTGTGCAAATATGAAGCATCCTGAGCAGCACAATCTGTCATATTATCTTCATCGTCTGATTCTTCCACACTCTCAAAGGCACTAGCAACAGGAGATTTTGGAGAAATCGGCCTGATAATAGCTCCAGTTTTCCTGGTAGAATTCGTGTGTCCAGAAGATCTCCCTGGAAGATTACAGGCTATCAGCAATGACAAATCACCTGATGATAATTCATTGCCGATAAAGAAATCTGACGAATACACAAAACGTCGGGTAGTAACAGCATAGAGAAATCAACACATGACCCTTTTTACCACGTTGGTGCCATGACATTCAAAAGATTTTGATGAGTGTCAATTCACTTAAACATGCATTGCATTAAGTAGAAACAAGAAAGTAAACAATGTAGCAGAGTATTACAACACAGTGCATCCCTCCACAAATCCCCATAGACAAACTTTTCAGAGAAGAAAGCCCATGGCAAGAATTGCAAAAGAGGGCAAAACATATTCTACACTGAAATGCTTCGAGTTAGTGTAAGTATCAAAAGCCTTACTAGACATCTGCTTGTGGCTTCTTCCTTGAAGTTCTTTTACATTTCATATACCAAATGAACATAATAACTTCTAGATTCAGACATCATCTCGCAAATGATGACAGAAAAGCAAATATCACTGACATTCCACCGAAAAGCAAAGAATCTTTCCCCACTTTAACATCGTCTATCAAGTCCAAATACCATTTCATAACGACAAGATCAAAATCGAGCAATATCTGGTGCGCAGATTCTCGCATTCACAAAAAAAAAAAAAAAAAACACCACGATTATTTAACCCCCGTTTTAAGCTAAAGCTAAAGCTAAAACCTAATCCGAACAGTGAATACTTGGTATAATCGATCGGAAACTTGCATACCTTCAGATGGCGTCTGAAGTTTCGGCAACCCACGAGGGATTCCGTCCACGATGAAGTTGCCATTGACGGGCCTCTCGTCTCCTCCACCGCCACCGCCGCTGTCGGTTCCACCGGAAAAGTCCGTGACATCGGGAAGCGACGTCGAGCCACGGCGGTAGTAACCGTTACCCATCCTCAGGCCGTTGCTCCGCCGTTCCTTCAGGTGTTGCTGCGGCAAATCTCCTTCGGGAAACTCGCTCTCTCTCTGCCTTTCTCTCTCCCTCTCCATCGCCTTGGCAAACTCAAGCAACTGGTTCAGCGTCTTCCGGTGCATGAAATACGCCGAAACAGCAACGAAGGAAGCCCCGAAGAGAGCCGCCATGGCCAGATGCAATACGCTCGATTCCATGGAGTTGGATCAGAATATCTGCACAAGTGAGAGTGGAGAAGAAGCCACCGAACCCGCTCGTATGAAGTGGAGAAGAAAGAAAGAAGAAAACTTCGTCTTCCCTAGTCTCGATGGATATTTATAGGCCCACCCAGATTCACCACCCCCATCGGACCAAAGGGTGTATCCTCGTTTTCTTTCCCTTTTTTCGGCACTAACATTTTCTTCTCGACATAAATATTTGGACTTTCCGTTGGATTTCTTTACGTATTTAGATTTCTTCCTAATTCGAATTTCATTTTTAAAAAATATTTAGTTTTGATTGTTTTTTTAAATTAGTTTTAATTCATTATAGATTAAAAAATTACATTTTATGAAACTCCGTTTTAATTTCAATGCAGAGAATATCCAAAATATCTTTATTTTTTAAAACTACTTCTTCGAATATCATTCTCAGTATGTAAATCTGTAACCAAAATGATATTATTATGATATACAAATTGGTAATAACGGTAAATTTATAATGATTTTATCAAATAGTGACGAATTGGTGTCCACGGTAAATTTAATTTTATAATAAATGTTATCAACATGTGATTATATTGTTATTTTACTTACATAGTTATATTTAGAGAAAGATACGTATAGAAATTTTTAACAAGTGTAAATTTTGGACAGATTATGGTCCGGGTTCTCTGTGTAGTGGTGTACGTGTACGAGAGATGTATGTGACAGCGACTAAGGAGCGATAAACTTTTTGACGAGGTTCTCTTTTGTGTCGGATTCCCACTAATCGCCTCCATTACTGCATAAAAATCATATCATTGGTATTTATATTCATTTTTTTTTATTATTAGTGTGTTATTTTATATTTTTGTTTACGAATTATTTTTCGATCTCAATTTTCAATATATACAACCAAATTATACGTTTTATATATCATTAAAAAGTTAATTTTAATATCTACGAATAGATACAAGTAGAGAAAATTATAAATGAAACAATATTATTATATCGGTATAACTTTAAAACTGAATTTAAAAATTAAATCCGAATCCACGGTGAACTTGTCTTATTAAAGAAATTATTTCTCGATCTGTACACAGTTGAATGAAACATGTACCTTGTCGGAATATTGGTATTTCAAACTCGTCGAGTTCAACGATAGATTTAAATCACAAAAAGATAAATCGATTTCTATCACAAAACATTGTTTTTTCTTTTACAGATTTTTTTTTATTGTTAAAAGTTAAAACGAGTGGGGAGACAATGACATATCTGACAAAATAAAATATTTAATTAAATCATCCATAATCTCTGCCATCGTATGGTAGATCAATAATACAAAAAATACAACGTACTTGAAGAATGGGACCACGAGAGACAAATAGTCGATATGCATGCTAAATCCTGTACTATATATATCTATAGTCTCTAACGTAAAATTGAAATATTATCCGAAATAAAAAATGGGTACACCTTGCTTTTCATATTTATGGGGTTTAAAATAAACTTTTTCGGACGGTTTCGAACCATGGTTTCCACTGTTGTTACAAGTAAATTAAATCCTATAAACATATGCATGCATTTCGATCGCCATAATAAGAAATGTTAAAAGTTTAAAATCATCCATATATATATACACATTACACACCATATACATGGAAATAAAATCCAGTTGGCTAGAATTGGGAAGAATAGCCAAAGAATATCTCTTAGAATTATCCCATAAAAGCATAGTTTATTACCATAAAATATATTTTTTTAAAAAGATATATACGGCAGGAGAAAACCACACACCACCTATAATATTAAAATTTTAAATAAAAGCCACAAACTTTACAAAAATATTGACACGAGTAAATGAATATATACGAGCCATCATATTGGTAATTAATCAATTGTGTACAAATCAATATGAGGAGCTGAAGCAATACGACGTAAAGTACGAGGTAAGTTTTTTATTTTATTTTATATAAACTAAACAGTTTGTTATTCTTGAGACAATAATTATAGTAACAGATTGTGAAAGCTCGTCATGAATCGTTCATTATTGGTGCTTGGGAATATTCGTGACTGATTTGGCCACGAGTCACTGAGCCCGAGTCAGAGTCGTGTCGTGTCGTGTCTCACTTTTGATAAAAAAAAAAATGGCTACGGGAAATTCTGGTCAATGGGGGATTGGTCATAATACATATAAAATGTAAAAGCTTCAATTAACTCCCTAGATCTTTGGTAAAATTAGTTGGCATCACAAAAAACTGTAAATATTTGTATTAGGGGTGGCCAATTCGGGTTTCGGTTCGGGTTTGGTTCGGTTATTTCGGTTATAGAAAAACTATAACCATTCGGTTTTCATATAAATTTCAATTTGTTTCGGTTCGGGTTCGGATCGGTTTTGGTAAAAAGTTCAATTTTCCAAAGAAATTGTCGGTTATTCTCTTCTCGGTTTTTTCGGTTATTTTTTATTCAGTTCGGTTCGGTTTCGGTTTTTCTGGTTTAAGAAAATCATAACCGTTCGGTTTTAATGTCGGATTCGGTTCGGGTACGATTATGTCTTATTCGGTTCGATTCGGTTATTCGGTTAATAACGAAATGGCCACCCCTAATTTGTATCATATGATCTTTCGTACCAAGTGGGCCAGCCTTCATAATTCACGTATCAGGCGTTTTTTTTTTAATGATCTTCTTCGGTTTAGCAACTGGGCTTGGGTTAAAACTGAAACATTGGGCCGGTGGATTTAAAATACAAATGTAGAATTCTTGCTGGGCTTGATAGGGGCAGGAAAGTAATTTAAAAGGGAAAAAAAGGGAAAAATTTAGGCGGAAGCCACTCAGATTTTATCAGAGCCTGGTTTCGATCCAGGGACCTGTGGGTTATGGGCCCACCACGCTTCCGCTGCGCCACTCTGATTCGTTGATGAATGATATACATAATTATACAAAAGCAATATAATAAAAAGGGAAATTCGACGTGGAGATTTTCTCCGGTGGAATGCGGCGCGAGATTGGCTTGGCTCCGCACGGTGCTGAGGGGAACACGTGGCAGTTAATGAACATCGCCCTCATCTAATGCTGACATGTCGCCGCTTAGTCAGCATCCTAATTTGCGACAAAATATCTTCAGAAACGATAATTTTTTCTTTCCCATTTCCGAGTTTTTATATTATTCCTCCACAAGCACATATATATAATATATATGCATCAAAATTGTGTTATTTTTTTTTTTGTTTAGTTTGTTTGCTACCTTGATTCATTTATTTTTTAATATTATTTATAAAATTATCGCAATACGTTATGAAATTTATTTAACGTATTGGGCCAAATCCGGCAATTGCGAAATATCAACACTAGGCCTGAAGCTTTAAGCCTTCGTTCGGCCCAAGTGCCCGAACGTGGGAGGAACCCTAAATGTATTATAAACCCTAGCTTCTATTTCAGCCAACTTCGTTCCTCATCCGTCTCTTCTCCCTCCTTTCCCATTTCTTAAACCCTAGCTCTATCTTCTTGAATTTCCTTCTTCTCCTTCTGGTTTGGTCTCTACCATTTTTTTCGGATATGAGTTCGGACGACGAGAGAGAGGAGAAGGAGTTGGATCTCACTTCTTCCGATGTTGTCACCAAGTACAAAAGCGCCGCCGAGATCATTAACAGTAATTTCTCTCATTCTCTCCTCCATTCGGTTGTTCTTTCGTCGAAGCTATTTATCATTTTTTTTCGCTCAGTTTTCGATTTCATAGAATTGTCTTCGAAGTTTCTGATGGTTGGTTCTTCGATATTGCTCTTGTATTGAAATGGCAGAGGCGTTGCATCTTGTCGTATCAGAATGCAAACCGAAAGCCAAGATTGTTGATATATGCGAGAAAGGAGACGCGTTCATCAGAGAGTGAGAATTTATCTCTATTAATTCACCTTCTTTGAGTGTTTTTTTTCTTCCGAATAACTGTTTTCCATTGGATTTGGGTATTTAGATGTGTTTTGTGTTCTCTTGAGGTTAATTTTCTGTTTCTGTGTTACTTGTTGTATATAAAGACAAACAGGGAATATGTACAAGAATGTAAAGAAGAAGATCGAACGAGGCCTTGCTTTTCCAACATGCATCTCTGTCAACAACACCGTATGCCATTTCTCTCCCCTTGCCAGCGATGAAACAGTGCTGGAAGAAGGTGATATGGTGAAAATGTAAGCTGTCTTTGGATCCCAATTTCGCGTGTTAAGTACGCAACTTGTTTTTTTTCCCTTGTTGTATTTGTATGAGTTTCTAATGTTCTTTTTTGTTGTTTATGATGCAGTGATATGGGATGTCACATTGATGGGTTCATTGCAGTTGTTGCGCAAACAATTGTCCTTCAGGAAGGGCCGATTACAGGACGTAAAGCTGATGTTATTGCAGCTGCAAACACTGCCGCTGAAGTTGCTCTGAGGCTTGTGAGGCCTGGGAAGAAGGTACGTTCCGTATATTTCCGACGAATGACTTCTCTCCCTCATATATGTAGGCTTGCACGTATATGTAATTATGTATGTCTGTGTATTGCATTTGTTGCTTGAATTATTATTGTCTTTAAGTGCTGCAAACTCAGACACGAGCACATGCTGTTGGATATGGATTTAACATTCCCTGATGGGATGTGGTTTTGCATCGGAGTTTGCTATTTGAGTAGTTGTCGAGGATTAAGTGTATTTATTCATGTGGCAACTTTGCCGAGGAGATCATTCTATTTTAGATTTCCTCTTTTCCCTGTTGCCGATATCAATTCTACACCCGACTAAGGCTTATTAAGGTTGATGCTTCTTGTGTTGATATCTATCGCCTGTACAGGGTTACAACTTACATTACATTTTTTATTTCTTCGAAAAAGATGTTGTCAAACTATGTTAGCCTTCTGATGAATTAATGTTTTATAGAAGCGGAAGGAGAATTGTGGAAATGTACCTTGTTTATGGGTCTTTTCTGTTCTACATGCAATTCAATGTGATGAACACAGTGCTTACTTATAAATTTAGTTTGATTTAAGTTTATTGTGTCGCTCAGCTCACTTGTATTGTTGAGCTCTCTTCTTTCCCTCGTTTCTTGAGTGCTTTTGAGATTTTGATTATTTTTTTCTGCTATCTCCTACAGAAGTGTTTGATGTCTGATTTCCCCGAGGATGAAAATCACCTAAAAAGCTATGGATTTTCATCCAAATGAAGCTCTGTGTCATAGTTACTCTGATTTGGGGAATTATTTTGATATTTTTGTTATGAAATTAGTTAGCTACTACATCCTGTTTAGTCGTACACATTCCAAAATTCTTCTGTGAAGGTATTATTAACCAAATGTTTGTCTTCTTGTGACAGAACCAGGAGGTAAGTGAGGCTATCCAGAAGGTAGCTGAAGCTTATGACTGTAAAATCGTGGAGGGTGTTCTAAGTCACCAGATGAAGCAGTTTGTTATAGATGGAAACAAGGTTGTCCTTAGTGTATCCAATCCAGAGACACGGGTTGAAGATGTGGAGTTTGAAGAGAATGAAGTTTACTCGATAGATATCGTAACTAGCACTGGTGATGGAAAGGTAATTTGCAGTGCTGAAATTATATTGACGCCCATTTGTATCAGCTTTATCTTTTGATCTTATTTTTGCATGACCCATCTGAGAATTACAGCCGAAGCTTCTAGATGAGAAGCAAACGACTGTCTACAAGAGATCTCCGGATAGAAGTTATCATCTTAAGATGAAGGCGTCCAGATTCATCTTCAGTGAAATCAATCAGAATTATCCACATTTTCCATTCTCAGCAAGGTTTGCCTTCGCCACCCGTCGCTCTTCATCCCTCTGGGCTGAAAAATCACTTTGAACACCACAAAGCATTAGCGGGATTATGTAACAAAATACAGGGTTCTGGAGGAGAAAAGGGCAAGGCTCGGGCTTGTGGAGTGTGTCAACCATGATCTCTTGGAGCCATATCCTGTTCTTCACGAGAAACCCGGTAAAGATAAACACATTTGCAATGCAGTTGGCTTTCATGAAATCGGATGGGCCTATTTAACATAAATGTGTTCCATGATGTGGGGTTATTTCCAGGGGACTTTGTAGCACACATAAAATTCACGGTACTGCTGATGCCAAACGGTTCGGATAGGATCACCTCTCATCCACTTCAGGAGCTGCAACCAACCAAGACAATCGATGATGCTCCCGAGATCAAAGCTTGGTTGGCTTTGGGTATCAAAACAAAGAAGAAAGGTGGTGGGAAGAAGAAGAAAGGTAAAAGAGGACAACTTTTGTAATGTTGTCCCAGTTTTTTTTTTAAAGGGTTTTGAGTAAAGCGGGAAATGGGTGACATGGAAATTGCAGGAAAGAAAGCAGGAGAAAAAGCGGGTGAGACAACAGAGGAAGGTGCTCAAGAAGAATGAGGAAAGAAGGTATCTTCTTCTTGTTTAGTTGTGTTTCCCCTCGTTGAGGATTTTTTTTTTTTCTTGTGTCGGGCACTCTCTCCTTTGTATTGTGTTTTTTTTTTTGTTTCTATAAGATGTTTTTGTTATAGCATTTGTTCTCTCGTAGACTTTCCAAACGTTCTTCCAACATTTTTGTTTGGCTACCTTTTCTCTATTATCATATTGAAAAGCAAATTTAGACTGGCAGATAAACAGGCTTTTGTAGGTGACTAGTTGTAGACTGGGTGGGTCATGGGCCATGTTTGTACATTTATTTCGCTATATTTTATTAACGGTTCAGAAGGGGAAACAAGAGAGAAATTGCAGAGCATGGGAAGTTTTGATATCAGTCTAACTAACTCTAACAGTCGTGGTGTGAATGATCATATGATACAAAGTCATGGGGAGGCTGTATTCACTTTTGGTGTATTTGACAAGTCTGCTGTAGGCCTCACTTTATGATTTGTGAAGTTAAATTCATTTACTAAGCAATCAATTGATGTTAAGACAAAAAAAAAAGTGGGAACTCCTTTGGTTTTCCTTTTTTTCGGACCAAAAGTTGGCGGCTGTTGTTTGGCCTTCCCATCGCCGCAGCGTCGCATATTGTCAAGATTAGCATTTATTTATTTATGTATTGTATGCATGTTGTGTGTGACTGATATTAGTAGCGTGGACGGCATTCGCATTCGAGATTATAAATTTTTCTTATCAGTGGCCAACCTCGAATTACAAATTTTAAAAGAGTTCCAAATTTGAAGTGTTCCTCAGAGGTAGTCGCCACTCGCCACCGAGGGCACTACTCCCCCTTCCCTCTTCGACACTTCTATACCAATTATTATTATTTTTTTTTAAATTTAAAATATCCACTTCTCACCGACAATTTAGGAACACTCGTTAAAAACACGTGTCGTCCCAGTTTGGTTTAATTCGATTCATACATCTTAGATTTTTATTTTTATCTTTCTTGTCATCATCTGTGAAATTTTGGATCTGTTTTTGTCTTGTCTGTGACGTTGTTTTTTTTATCAAGGCAATGCAGATAATTCCCATACACAAAAAGCTAAATCAGATCAAGACAAATAAAAGTTGTGTTGTTTATAAAAACCTTGTAACCATAATTTTTAAAATTGAAAAAATTAATTTAAAAACTAATTTCAAATCGAATACAAAAATAATCATATTTATCAATAACACTCAATCCAAATTTGATATAATAATATAAATAGAAATGACCGCTCCCAGTTATTACCAGTGCCTTCCAAAACATTAAGCCCTCTACTTACTTAGTGCCTAATCACTCGATTAATTAACTCTTTTACCAAACACAGCCACGGGAACCAAACCAAACTCCTCTCTAATGGCGGTATCCCTTTCTTCCTTTATATATTCTCTTCATTTCCCGGGGTTTTTTTCCCCTACTACACCCAGAAATTCTCTCGTGTTCGAATTGTATTCTCAGTCTCTCTGGTTCTCTTACTTTTGGTTCGAAGAGTGAAGCGATCGATCACGATGGATACTAAGGTCGGATCCATCGACTCTTGTATTCCGGCGTCCAATGACATCGGCGGCTCTCCCAACTGCGGTGTTTCCACCATCGAGAGCTCTCCGACGTCACACTCCCCCGCCGTCGTCAGTCCGAGCGACGCGACGCTCGGTCGCCACCTCGCGAGGCGGCTCGTGGAGATCGGCGTCACCGATGTCTTTTCCGTTCCCGGAGACTTTAACCTGACGCTTCTCGACCACCTGATCGCCGAGCCAAGGCTCAAACTCATCGGGTGCTGCAACGAGCTCAACGCCGGGTACGCCGCCGACGGTTACGCTAGGTCGCGCGGCGTCGGCGCTTGCGTCGTTACGTTCACCGTCGGCGGTTTGAGCGTCCTGAACGCGATCGCCGGCGCTTACAGTGAGAATCTGCCTGTGATTTGTATCGTGGGCGGCCCCAACTCCAACGATTATGGGACTAACAGGATTCTTCATCACACCATTGGCTTACCTGATTTCAGCCAGGAATTCCGGTGCTTCCAGACAATCACTTGTTATCAGGTAAAAACCATGAATCATATACTTCAGATAGAGATTCTTGTTGCTATATTCTGGATTCTCGAATTGGATTTCCATATCGGGTTTTCAAATTTTGGGCATGATTGTGACGAGGGTTTGATTCATGCCGGAACAGGCTGTGATCAACAACTTGGAAGATGCTCACGAGCTCGTCGATACTGCGATTTCGACTGCTCTGAAAGAAAGCAAACCTGTTTACTTAAGTGTAAGCTGCAACTTGCCTGCAATTCCTCATCCGACTTTCAGTCGCCATCCCGTTCCATTCTCGCTTACTCCCAAGTAATAATTCCCTCTTCTCCTGCAATCCCTTTATGCGAAACACAAACTGTAAACCTAACAGTGACTGATGATCTTCGGTTTTCGTAACAGGGTGAGTAACCAGATGGGTCTAGAGGCTGCGGTAGAGGCAGCTGCCGAGTTCTTGAACAAAGCTGTGAAACCAGTAATGGTGGGTGGACCGAATATGCGAGTTGCAAAGGCTATGGAAGCTTTCGTCGAGCTAGCTGATGCGTCTGGATATGCCCTTGCTGTAATGCCGTCTGCCAAGGGACTGGTACCCGAGAACCACCCGCATTTCATAGGGACGTACTGGGGAGCGGTCAGCACTCCCTTCTGCGAGGAGATTGTTGAATCAGCAGATGCGTACGTGTTTGCGGGTCCTATTTTCAACGATTACAGCTCGGTCGGATACTCTCTCCTTCTCAAGAAGGAGAAAGCAATCATCGTGCAGCCAGAGGGTGTTACGGTAGGGAACGGGCCTTCATTCGGGTGTGTTCTTATGAAAGATTTCCTTAGCCATTTGGCGAAGCGATTGGCACATAACAACACAGCCTACAAGAACTACCACAGGATCTATGTGACGGAAGGGAAGCCTTTGAGAGATAACCCGAAGGAGCCGTTGAGGGTTAACGTGCTGTTTCAGCATATCCAGAGGTTGCTGAATGGGGAAACCGCTGTGATTGCTGAAACGGGAGATTCCTGGTTCAACTGTCAGAAGCTGAAGCTGCCGGAGGGATGCGGGTACGAATTCCAGATGCAGTACGGATCGATAGGGTGGTCAGTGGGAGCAACGCTGGGATATGCGCAAGCAGTACCGGAGAAGCGTGTGATAGCATGCATAGGAGACGGTAGTTTCCAGGTGACGGGACAGGAGGTGTCGACGATGATAAGGATGGGGCAGAAGAGCATAATATTTCTGATAAACAACGGAGGGTACACGATCGAGGTAGAAATCCACGACGGCCCGTACAACGTCATAAAGAACTGGAACTACACCGCGCTTGTGGACGCCATCCACAACGGGGAAGGCAAGTGCTGGACGGCCAAGGTCAGCTATGTTACATTAGTCCATCATCTGATGTTCATGAGAACAATCTTTCTCCGCGTGTATGATAATGTCCGTGGTTGGGTTGGCAGGTGAGAAGCGAAGAGGAGCTGGTGGAAGCGATAGAAATGGCGACGGAGGAAGAGGAGAAGAGAGAGGGGCTGTGGTTCATAGAGGCGATAGTGCACAGGGATGATACGAGCAGAGAGCTGCTGGAATGGGGATCTCGTGTCTCCTCTGCCAACAGCCGCCCCCCTAACCCTCAGTAGTCCTTCCTCTCTTCAGTCTTTCTCCCAATCAACACTCTGTTTCCGTTTTAAAAAAAAAAAAGAGTTTCCCAAATTGTGTCCAATTTCATGCGGAAAATCTCATATCATATAAAATTGTAACCCTTTTCAAATATGCTACGTAAATATTCCAACTTAAAAAAATGATTACAACTATATGAATGATCTAAAAATGATCAAATCTCTTCGAATCATATACAAAAACAATACCACACCACATCGATAAAAAATAAATAAATAAATTCGGTATATTTTTGTAGTGTTTTTTAAATGAATATATTTGTGTGCCACGTTTCAAGAATTTCTCGTAATCTTATGTTGTCTTTAGAACGAAAAAAAATCAGCCGTTATGTGAACGATGGGGTTGTGATTCCCAAATTATCGAAATTGAAATGACTGTCACCACTCTTCAAAATCAGAGGAATCACTGGAGGTGAAATTTTTCGAAAACTCTGTTCGATCCCGACAGAGATATTTTATCTCTCCGTCGACGATGTCGATCATCGAGATCAACGAGGTAAAATTTCTCTGTCGGAATCGATTCGCGTCGTTTGAGGTATGCGATTCTTTTTTTTTGTTTTTGTTTTTGGCTTTCTTCTTCACTCTCTTCACTCCCTGACACTAGAGTTTGAATGAATGTTGCGATTAGGGTTTTGGGGTTATGTACTATGCATACCCCATGATGGATCGATCTGTGTCTGCTTGAAATTATGTAACATCCTTGGCTGAAAGAAATTAATTTGCACGCAGAAAGATACTCGCTTTGAGGTTTGTTCAAGAAGAGGGTGGTCAAATGCAGACCATTGAACAATATTTGAACGCCATTGCTTCTCCACCAATGCAACTTACCTTATGAAACGTCTTTTTGGGTTTCTGTTGTTTTGTTTTCTTGTTCGACGGCCTCTGTTTGTTTGCTCCAACTGAGGGAAAATCATCAAGAGAAGTTGGTCAACATGAATGTTGTACCATGTTCTCCATCTTCTCCAGAGTACAAGCGAGCCGATGAAGATCCAGAACCCGAAACCGAACCCAAAAGCAGCACTCACGAATATCCATTCGGAATCGTCCTCCTCGGAGTTGGAGTGTCTGGGCTGATGAGATAATGCTGACTTGTCTGTGGCTCTGCACCTTTTCTTCAGAGGGATACCACAGAGTCCTTTGTTCCCTTCAAATGATTCTTCACTGAACGTCTGGAACTGCGGTCCTTTTGGAATTTCTCCAACCAACTGGTTATTAGAGAGGTTGAGGTAGGAAAGGAAGTTCAGGTTCGTCAGCTCTTTAGGAATCTCTCCTGTCAGGTTGTTTGAAGAGAGATCAAGAGATTCAAGCTGCTGCAAGTTACTTAACACAGACGGGATTGGTCCTGTAAATGCATTGCGTGACAAGTTGAGGATGCAGAGCTCTTTTAATTCTCCGATTGCATCTGGAATCGGTCCTTGAAAATCGTTGCTGGAGAGATCGATAGCCGTGTAGATTGTCAGGATCTTCGAGAGCTCCAACTCTTGGCCTTTTGAGGTATATGTTACCGAGTCCTGATAGTAACTAAACCCACTAAACTGTAGAAAGTCGAAGCGGATGTAGGAAGTTGTGGCATTTGCATCACCCATCATTGCCTTCCATTTCATGAGGCAATCTTGTTTGAGTTCACCCGTAAACTTGTTCATGGCTAAATCGACAATCTGAAGCATGGGCCATGGACTATGATCTCCTGAGCAGTCTATCGGACCAGAGAAGTTGTTGGATTTCAGGACAACGACGCGTAGAGTGGATAAGTTCTTCAAGTGGCATGGGAAGGTATCACTTATCTGATTGTGCCCGATGTTCAGAACCTCCAGCTTTAAGCAGTTGGCAAGGGACCTTGGAACTTGTCCTCGTATTCGGTTGCTGCTTAGATCTAGAGTTTCTATTGCACAATTTCGGGGAAAAGAATCACCCAGGCTCCCATTCAGATTGTTTCTTCTGAGGTTTAAAACTCCTAGTGTTGAGCTCTTCTCCATGAGACATTCTGGTATTTCTCCGCTCAGCTTATTGTCTGACAAATCAAGAACTTGAAGATACTTAGCACTGCACACTGTTTCAGGGATTGATCCGGTGAGACTGTTGTTTGATAGGGAGAGGTAAATAGAAAAGCTAAGGTTTCTATCGACATCGGAGGGAATTGAGGAAGTGAAATTGTTATCTGAGTAATCCAGATAGATCGCAGCCGGTGGTAGCAAAGGAAGGTTTCCACCAAACATGTTGTAATGGAGGTCCAAAACACTGAGAGCGTCGGGAATCTGATAGTCTTCTTCAAAAGCCGTAAGCTGATTATGTGAAATATTCAGATGCATGAGAGAGCCACTGCCCACCTTCCATAACCAATTCGGCACTTCTCCTTTTATCTGATTGACTGATAGGTCCAGAAAAACAAGTCTTGATTGTTTCTTCAAATCTGGAAAACCATCTAACCCGCACAAAGCTAATCTTAATCTTGTGAGTTGGGTAATAGACGAGTTAACAGTCCCGTAAACCGACAAACTGTTGTAGGACAGATCAAGGCTGCTCAGATTTTCAAGCTTTTGAAACCATCCCAGTTCCACAGAACCACTGAAGTTATTATAAGCAAGGGAGAGGAAATTAAGCTCTCGGAGTTCGAAGACAGACTTAATGGGTCCCTGGAGAATGTTGCTACTCAAATCTAGAGTGGTCAGGTTACGAGAACTCACATTCGTTGGGATCTCTAACCAGCCTGAGAGCATGTTATTAGAAAGCTGGATGGTACGCAATGACGGGAGAAGAAACAGAGATGGCGGGATCCTGCCACTCAACATGTTGCCACTTAGATCAAGATTCTGCAGATTATTGAGGCTTTCCCAGTGAACCGGAAGCTCTCCCATTAGGCTGTTGTTGGACAGAATTATCCCTGTCAAGTTCTCTGGCATGGTGAATGACGGTATTGTGCCAGTGAACTTATTGGATGACAAATCCACGTAAACCAGACGCTTGAGCATAGATGTAGACCGAGGTATTTGTCCAGTGAAGTTGCAGGCTGCAAGATCTAGTCTGGACAACCATTCCAAGTTCTCTATGGATTCAGGCAGCGTCCCGAAGAAATTCGTGTTACTAAGAGCCAGAATTTGCAGAGATCCATCCACGGGAAATTCCATCACGGTACCTTCAAGCATCGGATTGTTTGACAGATCAAGCGTCTGCAATTTTGATAGCTGAAACACCTTCCCGGGTAATCTTCCAGAAAACCCACAGTACCTTAGACTCAGGAAAGACAAGTTCTTGAACTCACCAAAGAAATCAGGCACTGTAGTTGAGAAACCATTGTTGTCTAACTGGATTTTCTCAAGGTGTTTCAGCTTCAGCAGAGAAGTATCAATGGGACCTGAGAGATAGCAATTAGACATGCTCAAGACTCTCAGATTTTGTAGTGAAGATGACAAAGCCTCACACCATTCTTTTCCTTTTGCAGAGACGTTCACCCCATCAAGATACAGCTCTGTAAGCTCCCCAAAGTTCTGAACAAACGAAGCCAGATTCGGGTTCTCCAGTTTTAGCGAACGGTTACTGGCGGAGTAAGTGGTCAAGTCAAGAACGACCAGACGTGTCATGTTTGAAACTTTCCCAGGAATCTGGCCGCCAAATCCGGAATAAGACAAGTTGAGATGCTTCAGGTTTGCCAGTTTCCCAATCTGTGATGGTATCAGAGGATAATTCAAGTCGTTGAAGCTCAAATCCAGGGACCGGAGACGATAAAGATCGAAAAGAGCACTAGAATCATCAAGGCCGCCACTGATCGACTCAGCGCTCAGATCAAGACCAGTAACACGACCCTTTTCATCACATTTCACTCCAATCCATCGGCAACAATCACTGGTCTGGTTCCAAGCGTTAAGCTTGGTCGATGAAACAGAACTGAAGATGAGACCGCTCCTTAGTCGCAGCAACAGAGCTCGTTGATCGTCAAGACATTGCCCTTGTACTGGATCAGGCACACTTAGCAGCACAAGTGCTTCTACCAAGACAAGCCACTGAAGAATTAAACTTTTCATCGGTGTGGTGTGGTGAAAGTATATATACAAAAAAAAAAAAAGATATTTGGGCGTCTGGAGAGGAACCAAAGAAGGTGCAGAAACAAACACGGGTTTTATTCAGACAAAACAGTACTGTATTAGCAAAAGTCTCTTATGTCTATTGTCTTCAATGTCTTGTTTGAACTTGGGAAAATGAAAGCCCTTTAAAACAGTGGACCATATTTGTTTTCCTTTGATACCACAGCAAAAGATATAGGACCAACCTTTGATAATTTCCAAGTATATTATTACTAGAGATTTATTGGACATATTTTATTCAAGTTTTAGGAGACTATATTTATAGATATAAAATATATATTTTTTAAAAAATTCTAATTATCTAACATAAATATAATTAAATCTGAGTATTACATAATATTATCGATTATGTGTTCTAATGTGTTCCGTCTGATACCTATTATTATTAATTCATTGTATTCTTGTATATCTGAACCAAGTGGAGGCTGAGATTATATATACGCTTATACATAGAGATTTATCACAAATACATATACATAGACATATACATATATACATATATATACAGAGAAAAAGGATCCAGATATGTCTCTTAACGTGTATTTGTTTTTCTTCTAAGAAATGCTAAGCGTCCTCCCTCTAATTCAAGTTGAAGTCTACGTAGGACCATTGACGAGGGGATTTTAGAAATGTGTTTATGCCGTGGAATTATGGAAAGCAATGGAGATTGAAATTTCATTAAAAATATAATTTTATAATTTTATATTCTAATGGATTAAATTTTTTAATTAAATTCCACTATATATCTAGAATTGTGTTAGAATATCTTTGAAGATTTTCTAAAATAATATAATTTCTATTCACTTTTCTTTTGATTTTTTAATCGCGGTAGATTTCCTTATGATAATATATTAACGATTTTTTTATATTACTTTGTATCTTTATATAGATCATTTTACTGAATAATAAAATATCTTATGCGTTAGTTCATATTATAAATAAAGATCTTTAGGTTACTAGAAATACGTAAATATTAGAAGATTAGTCGATCTTTTTCTTTCTATTTCAATAGGACGTGTATAGAATTGTAGTGCATTTATATTTAATCTCTATGTTAATATTTTGCATTCCATTTCATTCCTCGGTCAAAGAAAGATAAATGGGCCAGCAGTTTCCAAATTCCAAAATTAATATCATATATTTTTTTAAAAATAAAGAGAGGATAGACAAGTTTTTTTTTTTTTGGGTAAAAGGATAGACAAGTTATTATTTGCTACAATATCATCAACCGCTATACATATTAATATGGCCCATATACATTTAGATAGAGAAGGCATTAGAAATCCTATCCTGTGTGTGTACATACATATATACATATATACATATATATATACGTTCATATGTATGCGCATATGATTCTTTCTTATCAAAACCCGACGCTAAAGTCAGGAGGGGGAGTCGTCGCTAGTAACAACGGCCGAAAAGTCAAGAGGAAGAAAACGCGTCCAATAAATGGCGGCGAAGAAAAAACAACACAGAGAGACAGAAAGCTGTTGTTTCATTAGATGTCCTTTAACCAAATCCCATGTTTCTTCTCCCATCTCTCACCTTCTGGTTTTCCGGCGACATCTTTACTTTTCCGGTCAACCCCTTACTTTTCCGGCGTCAAACTCTCCGACCCACCATTTACACGATGTTCATCCTCCTTCAGCCTCTCTTTCTCCGCCGCTTCTCTTCGTAGGCTTTCCCCAAATGAGACGTCTGATTATCTCGTGGCTTATACTTGTGTTCAATGTCGCTTCTTTGGTACAGGGGCGATGTCTTGACGATCAACGAGCTCTGTTGCTGCGGTTAAAGAGCGGTCTCATCTTCAGCTCTGTTTCATCGATCAAGCTTAACGTTTGGAACCAGACCAGTGATTGTTGCCGATGGATTGGAGTGAAATGTGATGAAACGGGTCGTGTTACTGGTCTTGATCTGAGCGCTGAGTCGATCAGTGGCGGCCTTGATGATTCTAGTGCTCTTTTCGATCTTTATCGTCTCCGGTCCCTGGATTTGAGCTTCAACAACTTGAATTATCCTCCGATACCATCACAGATTGGGAAACTGGCAAACTTAAAGCATCTCAACTTGTCCTATTCTGGCTGAAGTTTCAGACTTGACACGTTTGGACGTTCTTGACTTGACCACATATTCCGCCAGAAACCGATCACTGAAACTTGAGAACCCGAATCTGGCTTCGTTTGTTCAGAGCCTCGGGGAGCTTACGGAGCTGTATCTTGATGGGGTGAACGTCTCTGCAAAAGGAAAAGAATGGTGTGAGGCTTTGTCTTCTTCACTACCAAATCTGAGAGTCTTGAGCATGTCTAATTGCTATCTCTCAGGTCCCATTGATACTTCTCTGCTGAAGCTGAAACACCTTGAGAAAATCCGGTTAGACAACAATGGTTTCTCAACTACAGTGCCTGATTTCTTTGGTGAGTTCAAGAACTTGTCTTTCCTGAGTCTAAGTTATTGTGGATTTTCTGGAAGATTACCCGGGAAGGTGTTTCAGCTACCAACATTGCAGACGCTTGATCTGTCAAATAATCCGATGCTTGAAGGCACCGTGATGGAATTTCCTGTGGATGGATCTCTGCAAACTCTGGCTCTTAGTAACACGAATTTCTTCGGGACGCTGCCTGAATCCATAGAGAACTTGGAATGGTTGTCCAGACTAGATCTTGCAGCCTGCAACTTCACTGGACAAATACCTCAGTCTACATCTAAGCTCAAGCGCCTGGTTTACGTGGATTTGTCATCCAATAAGTTCACTGGCACAATACCATCATTCAGCATGTCAGAGAACTTGACACGGATAGTTCTGTCCAACAACAGCCTAATGGGTGAGCTTCCCGGTCACTGGGAAAGCCTCAAGAATCTGCAGAATCTTGATCTAAGTGGCAACATGCTGAGTGGCAGGATCCCGCCATCTCTGTTTCTTCTCCTGTCATTGCGTACCATCCAGCTTTCTAATAACATGCTCTCAGGCCGGTTAGAGATCCCAACGAATGTGAGTTCTCGTAACCTGACCACTCTAGATTTGGGTAGTAACATTCTGCAAGGACCCATTACATCTGTCTTCGAACTCCGAGAGCTTAATTTCCTCTCCCTTGCTGATAATAACTTCAGTGGTCCTCTGGAACTGGGATGGTTTCAAAAGCTTGAAAATCTCAGCAGCCTTGATCTCTCCTACAACAGTTTGTCGGTTTACAAGAAAGTTAACTCATCTATTCCCCAAGTCAGGAGATTAAGATTAGCTTCATGTGGATTGGAGAGGTTTCCTGATTTGAGGGAACAATCGAGACTTGTTTTTCTGGACCTATCATTCAATCAGATAAGAGGAGAAGTGCCGAATTGGTTGTGGAAGGTAGGCAGTGGCTCTCTCATGCATCTGAATATTTCACATAATCAGCTTACAGGTTTTGAAGAAGACTATAAGATTCCCGACGCTCTCAGTGTTCTGGACCTCCATTACAACATGTTCAGTGGAAACCTTCCTTTGCTACCACCCGCAGCGATCTATCTGGATTACTCAGACAACAATTTCACTTCCTCAATTCCCTCCGATATTGATAGAAACCTTAACTTTTCTATTTACCTCTCCCTATCAAACAACGATCTCACCGGATCAATCCCTGAATCAGTGTGCAGTGCTAAGTATCTCCAAGTTCTTGATTTGTCAGACAATAAGTTGAGCGGAGAAATACCAGAATGTCTCATGGAGAAGAGCTCAACACTAGGAGTTTTAAACCTCAGAAGAAACAACCTGAATGGGAGCCTGGGTGATTCTTTTCCCAGAAATTGTGCAATAGAAACTCTAGATCTAAGCAGCAACCGAATACGAGGACAAGTTCCAAGGTCCCTTGCCAACTGCTCAAAGCTGGAGGTACTGAACATCGGGCACAATCAGATAAATGATACCTTCCCATGCCATTTGAAGAACATATCCACTCTACGCGTCGTTGTCCTGAAATCCAACAACTTCTCTGGTCCGATAGACTGCTCAGGAGATCATAGTCCATGGCCCATGCTTCAGATTGTCGATTTAGCCATGAACAAGTTTACAGGTGAACTCAAACAAGATTGCCTCATGAAATGGAAGGCAATGATGGGTGACGCAAATGCCACAACTTCCTACCTCCGCTTCGACTTTCTACAGTTTAGTGGGTTTAGTTACTATCAGGACTCGGTAACATATACCTCAAAAGGCCAAGAGTTGGAGCTCTCGAAGATCCTGACAATCTACACAGCTATCGATCTCTCCGGCAATGATTTTCAAGGACCGATTCCAGATGCAATCGGAGAATTAAAAGAACTCTGCATCCTCAACTTGTCACGCAATGCATTTACAGGACCAATCCCGTCTATGTTAAGTAACTTGCAGCAGCTTGAATCTCTTGATCTCTCGTCAAACAACTTGACAGGAGAGATTCCTAAAGAGCTGACGAATCTGAACTTCCTTTCCTACCTCAACCTCTCTAATAACCAGTTGGTCGGAGAAATTCCAAAAGGACCGCAGTTCCAGACGTTCAGTGAAGAGTCATTTGAAGGGAACAAAGGACTCTGTGGTATCCCTCTGAAGAAAACGTGCAGAGCCACAGACAAGTCAGCAGTATCTCATACAGAATATCGAGCGAACGGGTTGGATTTGCAGTACATAATCACAGGGATCGGATACGGGGTTGGAGCAGGAGCCATTGTTGCACCCATAGTGTTCTGGAGACAAGCAAGCGACTGCATAGATGATGGAATTGACAAAATTCTTCTCGCCATCCTCCCAATTCTGGGGCTAACGTATACAACTTCCGATAACTGGGAAACAGAAGACGAGGAAAGTATCAAAGACCACGAAATGGGTGAAGACCCAGAGGATGAACAAGAACATGAACATGAAAAAGAAGATGGTGAGCTTTACAGGAAGTATTGCATTTTCTGCTCTAAACTGGACATGACCCGGAAAATGGTTATCCATAATCCCAAATGTAAATGCCACCATGACTCACCAACTTCCTCCTCCTCCTCCTATTTTCTATCATCTTTCTCATTGTCTCACTGAGTTTTCCATGTCTCTTTGTGTACACTGCGTTTGTTTATATTATTAGCTAGCATTCGACCTTTCTTTTTGTTACAATGGGTATCAACAAAAAATCAACTTGAATTCAGAAAACTTCAAGTAAGATAATTTATTTTCATGACTCCATACATTTCATTTTCTGTCGTCATTGGGTGATTTCATCGAACATGTAACGACCATCGCATACAGCCCTCTACGAGAAACTCCTACAAACGACAAGAAGTCATCACCCACTTAAGATCCTCATAAAAACAAAAACCTTCCCTCACCTGATGCAGAATTCAGATTATCTTCAGTTTTGAAAAAATTTAAGAACTTCGGAGGCAAAAAGCGGCAGATCATCCAAGAACGAGACTTGAAACACGATCCCAGAACTTTTTTCTGCTGATTCCCTTAGTAGCTGGTAGAAGAAGATGTAAAATTTTTTTCTAATGATCGCATAAATATTTTCTCGGAAGGACTTGGAGGGAAAAATGTCCGATGGGTGCTCATGAAAACGGGAAGAAGAATCATCTGAACCGTTCAGAGGATTTTTTTATGCTGTCGGTATCCGCACATGCCTGGGCGTGTTCCAAGAAGTTTGGAACAAACAAATATTTAGGCCCGATGACCTAAAAGGCCCAGGCCCATTTTAAGCCCATTCAATAAATGGCCCAAGTAAAAGATCCACTAATTACTCAATCGAAGCAAAGCTTAAAATACATGTATGGGAGGAAATAATGATGTATAATAACACCATTTCGATGTCATAATGATCCTTTCAATGGTATTTTTATGTAACACCTTTTAAATATAGACAACAAACATCAAAACCAGTGAATCCTGATTCGTTTATAAAACATATGATAACTATTCTTCCTTTTCGACATATCAGTGTAAATTTAGTGCATTGTTTGCATTTCAATATGAATCAAATCATGATGATGATGATGATGACTTTGTAAAATAATAATAATAATAATAATAATAATGATGATGACTTTAACAAACGCTATAGAGAATTTAATATAAATGGAAACACTAGAAAACAATCTAGGACCAAAGGTGTGATGCCATGGGAATGAGTGAGTGGCTAAGCAAGCGATGTGGTACGTACGATCCGTGCTTCGGACAATTCTCTATTCCGTTGTATTACTACAAAGACATCCTGAGCTGTCTCCTCCACATGACTTGTCAAGTTCATGTCCTCTTTTTTAAAAAAAATATTTTTGTTTTTAAAATTATTCTTATATATATATATAATAGATCACACTCTGATTAATCACCAGCAAAATCAGACTAAATCATAACCTAAAGAGAGTTAATTACCTTAAACATAATGGATATAATTAATAACGCGTGTTGACATTACTCCGCCGCTCAACGTGGGTGCAAAGCCATTTGCCGGCCATCTAACAGCACATATAATATTGATTATTGTTTTTTTATACAACCTTACGCTCGGTCCATTATTAATTTTTATTTATATCAATGTATATTCATTATCTTTTTTTTTGTGTGGAGATATTGTTATATAATTTAAAATTTAATATACACCCACACATGGATGTGTTTTCCCAAAGGATTTACTTTTGGCCTATGGAGATTTAAAATATTTTCAGTTGCTTATTGGATAAAAATAATTAAAATATTTAACCAATGCACTATAGCATTAGCCCATTCTATACACACACGTGTGTGTGTATATATATATAGCAAACGGTTTTACAAACATCAATATGCAAAGCTGGCAAGGAGAGTTTACAATCTATACATACAGCTGTGTACGTGTCTATAACAAGTGCAATGCTGGTATTTTTGTTACGAATTCTACAAGCGATATATTTGATAACTGTTATATTATTATAACATGTCAATGACGAAATTAACATATATTTCATTTAAAAAAAATTAGTAAATATTTCACCAGAGTTTTATAGGTCCATTAAAATGCAAAACGGGATGGTTCGGCTCAAGTCGATCCGGATCGGTTCGATTGAGTTCGTTTTGGATTCGATTTGGTTGCGGCCCGTTTTTATGAGTTAGAAAAACTTTAGCTCAATCCAAATCGTTTTAACTCATGAATCGATTTACAAATCGAATAAAGAATATAAATATTTAAAAATAAGAAAATAATATATTTTTGAAAAAAAATTTGACTCGCGAATTAATTTATAAATCAGCTCGTCCGACCTATTTTTTTTCGAAATCATATTTTTCCATTCTAATTCGAAAAAAACGAGATGGTTCGAGCGATGCTCGTATTTGACACATCCATATATACGCGTATTTCTTTTTATTAATAATAATACATTTTTTCATTCTATATTATATTATCTCGTGAAATTATAGATATTTATATTTGTATCATATTTATAAGTTGAAATAAACATACTACAAGTTCAAAAACCAACTAATCGCTATCATTGTATATGATTGCAATATTGATTGGATCCTTAATCAATAAAATAAAATTTTAAAAAATTTAAAAATAGAAATATTGGTGCAAATTATTGTATTTGTTGTGATGACACAACGACTACGACAATAATAATGAAAATGATGATGATAATAATAATAATAATAATAATAATAATAATAATAATAATAATAATAATAATAATAATAATAATTACGAAAAAAGGAAAATAAATAAAGAAAATGGAAGGCTAAAATGGACCCAATCTTGTGACCAACATGGACCCAAATGTTCGGGCCCAACTCGGGAGGAAAAGGCGGAGTGCTGACGTGGGAGATGCATGGTGTGGGACCTACACAAACCCAAAACATCATGACGATTCGCTATCCTCTCCGTCCTCTGTTCCAGGTACGATATCGTAGCACCGGATCATTACCACATCCCTCCACGCGCCGTCCACGAATCATCCAGCGCGTGATTGTGATGTGATTCCGTAGAACGTATCCACGGACCATGGAGAGATCGTGGCACCAGTGTCTGTCTCGATTTAATTATTTCGTCATGTGGGTATATATAACAATATATACATTATACAGATTTGTTTTTCAACGCGAAATAATATCCATGAAATCTTCCTTTTTAGTAAAATAAAAGTCAAAAAAGAAGAGGATATACGGTTGTTACAAGAGATAAATAACACAACTGAAACTCAAACAGCGCATATCGAAACATGGGATTCCAATGAACATAATTAGCAATATAGTATTTATTCCATCCAAATACATATATATATATATATACACATATATATATTGTGAGCAGTGCCACGAATGATCCAAATGGGAGAGGCCGATGATGATAAACATCAACAGATTATATAAAGTAAACCCAGCTTATTTAACAAACCAGAGAAATAAAAAAAAAATAAAGGAAATCGATGAGCACATAATAATATCGCATTATTAGAGCGCATGACTCTGAAAGCCAGAAAGCTGAAAACAAGAAACAAGAGAGAGACAGAGAGAGAGAGAGAGAGACATCCTTCGTCCAATTACCCGTCTCGACTTTTACGGGGAGATTCATAAATTTGTGGGGAAAAGAATTTCAGGTGAACAAAAGGGGAGAGGATCGATGAAACTTACACCGCAATAACACGTATTTCGATAACGAGAAGGTGAAGGAGAAGGAGAGGAAGCAATCGAGAATCGTCGTTTTTTAGTGAGCGGATCAAGGGAAACAGGGAAGAGACAGAGAGAAGAGAGAGATTTTCCGGCGGTCTGCCGTTCTGAGTCCCGGCGGACCTGGCCTGATCCAATCTTCGGATTGCCCATTTGTCTGATTTCCCGGTTCGGTTAAGGTTGCGCTGAAATTTCCCTCTTTTTCAATTTTTGGTTGTTACCCATTTATCAGATCTTCCAAATTTTGAAATTTGAATCGGAATTTTTTCTGCTCTCCGATGTGGGCTTTGCTTGATTGAAGATGCAGCATAATCTATTCACAGCAATGCGAAGTTTGAAGATTATAGAAGGATGTAAAGGGACGCAGGTTTACGCTCTCAACCCCTCAGCTCCTCCAAACTGTCGACCCCCCGCCTCCTCCGCCGGGAAGCGGTGACGGAGGCGGGGGCGGAGGAGTCGGCGACAAGCTCCTTCAGCACCTCCAAGACCATCTTCGTGTCAACTCGATCCGATCCAAATCCTCCCGGACTTATCCACCGCCGACCCAAACAAACGCCGTCGCTGCGCGGGATTCCCTCCTCCCTTATGGACTCCCCGCCACGTCTCTGCTCGAGCCCCAGATCGATCCCTGCCTGAAATTTGTAGATTTCATCGAGAAGCTCGCCGAAGTCTACCGTCGGATCGAGAATTGCCCGCAATTCGAGAAATCGGGGGCGTATTTGGAACAATGCGCGATCTTCCGGGGCTTATCCGACCCAAAACTCTTCCGGCGGAGTCTCCGGTCTGCCAGACAACACGCCGTAGATGTCCACACGAAGGTTGTCTTGGCCTCTTGGCTCAGATTCGAGAGGAGAGAGGACGAGCTGATCGGAACGACCTCCATGGATTGCTGCGGCAGAAATCTGGAATGCCCACGAGCAACCCTTGTTTCCGGGTACGACCCGGAATCCGTTTACGACCCGTGTGTCTGTTCCAAAACTCCCAGAGCGGAACTCAACGACGATGTCTCAGAATGTTCGACTTCTGAAGAAGAAGATTACGACATGGCCTTTTGTATCGGCGACGACGAGGTTCGATGCGTTCGCTACAAGATCGCGTCTTTGTCGAGACCCTTTAAGGCAATGCTATACGGCGGCTTTAGAGAAACGAAACGAGAGACCATAAACTTTACGCAGAACGGAATCTCCATTGAAGGGATGAGAGCTGCAGAGATTTTCAGCAGAACCAAAAAGTTGGATATGTTCCCTCCGAATATTGTCTTGGAGCTTCTTACATTGGCCAATCGCTTCTGCTGCGACGAATTGAAATCCGCATGTGATTTGTATTTAGCGAATCGTGTTAGTAATTTGGATGATGCAATGTTGTTGATCGAATACGGGTTGGAGGAATCAGCATATCTCCTTGTGGCGGCTTGTCTGCAGGTTTTTCTCAGAGAGCTGCCAAGTTCTATGCATAACCCGAATGTGTTAAAGATATTCTGCAGCACAGAGGGCCGGGAAAGATTGGCATCATTAGGGCACGCCTCTTTTACCCTTTACTTCTTCTTGAGCCAGATAACAATGGAGGATGATATGAAGTGTAACACGACAGTGATGCTCTTGGAACGTATGGTAGAATGTGCTGTGGAGACATGGCAGAAACAGCTTGCGTATCACCAGTTAGGTGTTGTGATGCTCGAGAGGAAAGAATATAAGGATGCTCAGAGATGGTTTGATGCAGCGGTTGAAGAAGGGCATGTTTATTCCCACGTGGGTGTTGCTAGGTCAAAGTTCAAGCGTGGCCATAGATACTCTGCTTACAAGATTATCAACTCCTTGATTTCGGATTGCACTCCGGCTGGATGGATGTACCAGGAGAGGTCATTGTACTGCAGCGGTAAAGAGAAACTTGTTGATTTGGATACAGGAACTGAGTTAGACCCAACTCTGATGTTCCCGTACAAGTACCGGGCTGTTGCCTTGGTAGAGGAGAATCAGTACGGGGCTGCCATTGTGGAACTGAACAAGATTATCGGATTTAAGGTATCTTCAGACTGTTTGGAGATGCGGGCATGGATTTCTATCGCTATGGAGGATTATGAAGGGGCTCTGAAAGATATCCGTGCACTTTTGACGTTGGAGCCGAACTTCCAGATGTTCAACCGTAAAATCCATGGGGACCATATGGTAGAACTGCTCCGCCCGTTAGTCCAGCAATGGAGCCAGGCTGACTGCTGGATGCAGCTTTACGATCGGTGGTCTTCCGTGGACGACATCGGATCTTTGGCGGTAGTTCATCATATGCTTTCGGAAGATCCTGGGAAAAGCCTTTTGCGGTTCAGACAGTCTCTTCTTCTGTTAAGGTTATATGTTTTTTAAGCTTTTTTGATGAATGAAGCTATTTTTTGTACATAGAATTAGCGATTTGTGATTTTTGGGTTCCATGGTTTTGCATACGACAGGTTGAACTGTCAAAAGGCGGCGATGCGTAGTCTAAGGCTGGCTAGGAACCATTCCAAGTCAGAGCACGAGAGACTTGTCTATGAAGGATGGATATTATATGACACAGGCCACCGGGAGGAAGCCCTGGCTAAGGCCGAAGAGTCCATTTCAAACCAGAGATCTTTCGAGGCATTTTTCCTCAAAGCTTATGCACTTGCGGATTCCACTCTTGACCCCGAGTCCTCAAAGTATGTCATCCAACTCCTTGAAGAAGCACTTCGGTGCCCTTCAGACGGTCTTCGTAAGGGGCAAGTAAGTATATAAAGTTCGGCACTTTTCGTCAAGCAATTCCATTTCGGTTTACTACTTCTCGGCTTTTTTCATTCTCTAATGAATGATCATCATCATCTCTCGGCTGTGTCATTATTCATCTTCGCTGTTACTGAATCAAGCTTTCTTAGCGTTCTGCACAAGGTGGTGACATAATAGTGCATATTTCCAATAAATGGAATATCGTCCCCCTCGGGTTGTCCATAGTGTATAGGAATTCGTGATTCAAAGTTTCGGTTTTTAAATCCAAAGTCCATATGCAGTTTGTGAGATGATAATGTGGTGCCATCGGATGGTTCTGCAGTTGAATTCTTGTCCATTTCGTCGAGCAATTCGAGTGCTGTGATTTATGGTATTGATGTTTGTGACAGGCATTGAACAACTTGGGAAGTGTATATGTGGACTGTGATAAGCTGGATCTTGCAGCCGATTGCTACATGAACGCACTCAACATCAAACATACGAGAGCTCACCAAGGTCTTGCTCGGGTTTATCATCTTAAAGACCAAAGGAAAGCTGCATTCGATGAGATGACAAAGTTGATAGAGAAAGCTCAGAACAGTGCCTCGGCTTACGAGAAACGCTCTGAGTATTGCGACCGGGAGATGGCACAGAGCGATCTCAGCATGGCCTCGCAGCTTGACCCCTTACGAACTTACCCTTACAGATACAGAGCCGCAGGTAATATACTACTAATTTCTTCTTGTTTCAGTCATATACAATCGCGTGCTCGGCACCAGAAAATGGATTTTTTTTATCCTCAAACTCGTGTAAATGGGTATGGCTAAAACCATAGTTTTAGCAGATTTTGATATAAAAACCTTTTATCTAATAAAGTTTTGAGTGGCTAAAAACATTGTAAATGGAAGTGCTTAATAACATTTGTAATAAGGAGCTTCCTACTAAAAAGTTTAATAAGATTTCCTTGAACAAAAAGATCCTAAAATGATAATTCCGGCATGCTTGCATCAAGTGTTCAGCCGAGACACGATTTCCGCTCTGACGTTTTCCTTGCTGTTTCGAACAAACGAGGATCTAGTCTCCCTTTTGACAGCGGATTTGGTTGTTGTTTTTTCCAGTTTTGATGGACGACCACAAAGAAGGTGAAGCGATAGCCGAGCTGACGAGGGCCATAGCGTTTAAACCGGACATACAGCTATTGCATCTAAGGGCAGCATTCTATGATTCGACGGGAGAATACGCTGCAGCAATCAGAGACTGCGAAGCAGCGTTGTGTCTTGATCCCGGACATGCAGATACACTCGAACTCTATCACAAAGCACTCGAGCAACATTCTCCAGATAAGTAGAGAGAGAGTTTCGGATGTAATCTGATCTCTTCTGCCTCTGTTACTGGTAAAAGCTTCTTCTAGGTCATTCCATTCCTCCTAGAAGAAGATTCAGCCATAAACTCTCTCTCTCTCTCTCTCTCTCTACCTGTTTCTCTGGTGATATTCAAAGGGTTGGTCCAAAGGAGCAAGAATAGCATGTAAATAGCAAACTTGGTATATGATTGGATGACTGGAAGAGGACAATGTATAGTAGTGAAGTGCAGAGTGTTCTTGCTGCTGAAAGGAGACTCATTTTCTGGCCAAAGGAACACAGGAGACTCGTGGACTTTCTTGTTCTGTCCTGTTGTGTTAGATGTTTTCTTTTAATTATTTGTTTTTTTTTAATTCTCGGGGTTAAGGGCATTGATTATATACGTAATTGTGTATCTGTAACTTTTTGTTCCCTTGTTTGTTGTACGGATTCTCAGGCTTCTGAGATTTTTTCCCCCCTTCCAAAAGCTGCCAAAAAACAAAGAGAGTGTATCCATACGACTTCTATTTGTTCTCTGCTTCTTTGGTTCTTTTCTCATAGATAATTGCTTCGACTTCGTGCTGTTTACATATATATATATATATATATATGTATGTATGTATGTATGTATGTATGTATGTATGTATGTATGTATGTATGTATGTATGTATGTATGTATGTATGTATGTATGTATGTATGTATGTATGTATGTATAAACTTTCTCTCTTTCTTTGCTTTTTTCCAATATTTTCATTTCGGAATGGATAAGAAAATTTCTTGTTTGTTCCATTATTGTGCGACCAAATCACCCATTAAATTGCGATCTCAAATTCAACGCCTCAGAAATTAGATATTTAATCATTAACAAAAAAAAAAAATCAACTCCCTCTGCTGTTTATATATATATATATATATATATGTATGTATGTATGTATGTATGTATGTATGTATGTATGTATGTATGTATGTATGTATGTATAAACTTTCTCTCTTTCTTTGCTTTTTTCCAATATTTTCATTTCGGAATGGATAAGAAAATTTCTTGTTTGTTCCATTATTGTGCGACCAAATCACCCATTAAATTGCGATCTCAAATTCAACGCCTCAGAAATTAGATATTTAATCATTAACAAAAAAAAAAAATCAACTCCCTCTCTCTTGATAAAAATAAAATAAAAAATTAATCAAATGAAAAATATATCCTTATCACACATATATGTGGACCTAATGGGCCCGGTTACTCTTTATCGTGTTCCGATCTCGGTGAAAAGCCCAATATCTTAAAGTCCACTACTGTGGCAAAGAAGGCCCAAATTATACAAATAGGCCCAAATGACAGAACCCCCCCCCCCCTAACAACTCATCGTTATAAATTATATAATTAGCAAACTAGGGTTTTTGTTCATCGTTCTCATACCTTGGGTTCGACTCGACACCGTCGGCGCTTAGCCTCAGAGGAATCCGGGGGCGTTTGGAGCTACACCTGCAAATATGGTCCCTCTTCTTCTTCTTCTCTCTTCTCTCCTCTCCACATTATCTCGCTCCGAGTCACTGGTCTCAATCTGTGGTTTATCTGTAGAAACAGATCCTCTGATTTTCTGTATGTTATGGGTTTCTGTGGTTGTTTAGCGCTCTGGGATTCGTTTACTGGATAGATTGCCATTATTATTTTTTTTTCAATTTAATGACTTCGTTAGTTTAGGACGACTGATTTGATGCGTGCTTGGATGTTATGATCAGGCGGTCTGTAGTATAGGATTCCGTATCTATGTGAACAGTAAATTTGTCTACGGTTTCTCTCCCTAGATCTCACCGGAGATGAGCAGTTTCTGATATCGCGGTCACTGTACTTTGATGTTTGTGAGTAAGGGTGATGTCATTAGGAGGATGGTTACGATTGTTTGTCCAAGATGATTATTTAGATTGTGTTTAATATCAAAATTAGGCTGATGTTCTTCGTTTTGACTTTTATTTTCAATGCAGGCGAGGGGATTGAAGAAACACTTGAAGAGGCTTAATGCCCCCAAGCACTGGATGCTCGACAAGCTTGGCGGTGCTTTTGTATGTTGTTTTCGTTAAAGTTTCATTGGTCGGATTGTGGATTTTCAGTATTATAATCTGCTATCTTGATGCTGTTTTGTGAAGGCCCCCAAGCCGTCTTCTGGACCTCACAAGTCGAGGGAGTGCCTTCCTCTCATCCTTATCATCCGAAACAGGTTGAAGTATGCTCTTACATACCGTGAAGTGATTGCCATCTTGATGCAAAGGCATGTCCTTGTTGATGGAAAAGTTAGGACGGACAAGACATACCCAGCTGGTTTCATGGGTAAGCCATGGCTTGACTTTTACTTTGTTTATGTTTCTGACATCTGGTTATGTAGCAATTAAGTAAAGGTTTATGCTTTACGGTTCACAGATGTCGTGTCTATCCCGAAGACAAATGAGAATTTCCGTCTTTTGTATGACACCAAGGGACGTTTCCGTCTCCACTCCATCAGGGATGAGGAAGCAAAGGTTTGTTTCCTGTGTCCTAATCTCTTGGATGTTAAAACTGAACTAATCCCATATCAAGTGCTTCTCAACTTCTGGTCAAGAGCTTTTGTAGTTGACCATTGTCATAGCTTGTCTTAGACTGATGGTTGATACGTACAAGACAAGTCATTGCTCCCATGTTTTGTTCCAACAAGCTTCTGAAATTTGGTTGTGCAGTTCAAGCTCTGCAAGGTCAGGTCAGTCCAGTTTGGTCAGAAGGGCATTCCTTACCTGAACACCTATGACGGTCGCACCATCCGATACCCAGACCCGCTCATCAAGGCTAACGACACCATCAAGCTGGACCTGGAGAGCAATAAGATTGTAGACTTCATCAAGTTTGATGTGGGGAATGTGGTGATGGTGACTGGAGGGAGAAACAGAGGTAGGGTGGGTGTGATAAAGAACAGGGAGAAGCATAAGGGAAGCTTTGACACCATTCACATTCAGGATGCTACAGGGCATGAGTTTGCGACAAGGATGGGGAATGTGTTCACCATTGGCAAAGGAACAAAGCCATGGGTGTCTCTTCCAAAGGGTAAAGGAATTAAGCTGAGCATCATTGAGGAAGCCAGGAAGAGGCTTGCATCCCAGCAAGCTGCTTGAGCACTACTCTCCTTTTCTTATTCCCATGTCTGGACAAGTGATGCTTTTACGTTTTCTTATTCCTAGAAGGATTCGGTTTACTCTTTTTTTTTTTTTTGGGATTCTGAGCTCGGTTTTGGACTTGTTATGTGTCTTACTTATCATCGAGTTATGGATATTATCTGGGCTTTCCGTAAGTTGCTTAGATTCCGACGATGTTTTTCGATTTACCTGATGCTTGTTGTTTCATTTGTCAAAATATATTAAATCCTTTTGACGATGCTTGTTTGGACGTAATCATTATACATTAAAAGCAACTTCATATACAATCAATTAGGCACCAGTGGTCTAGTGGTAGAATAGTACCCTGCCACGGTACAGACCCGGGTTCGATTCCCGGCTGGGGCAGTTTTTTGAAACAAAACATCGACTTTCCCTATCAAACATAAAAACAACATTTTTTTTGCACCTGGCTTGGGTTGTTGTTGACACAAGGAGAAGCAGATACACAAAACTTACTTTGGCAATTTTTATTATACAATCTACTGAATGAACACGTGAGATCTTACGGAGAGAGAGCCAAAGTTAGAATTTCTCGACAACAACACCAGCCCTTAGTACCTCATAAGCATCTCTGCTCCTGCTTTTCTTCATCCCGACCGTGAAATGTGCCTTCGAAGCATCGGCCGAGATACATGTCACTTTCACCCATATCATCGTCACCTTTGTTTTGATGCCTTCAACCTCCGCCATCTTCCCTTTCTCCAGGTACCCTGTCACCGTCGTGGAAAACCTCAGGACGGATGAGTCTTTGTACCCGACCTCACAGGTTTCGGGTATGAACACTGAGCTTTCCAGTCTCCTCGTTAAACTCGTAATTGGTGGCATCACTTGGAAAGATTCCTATTGGTAGTCCGTATTCCTTTAGCAGCTCAGGCAATGGCTTTTGCATTTTTCCTATTTGACAAAAAAAATCGGGGCTTCCATTCAACTGTCGCACTCTACATGATGATAGGAAAGAGAAAAACTTCAAATACAGGGCTTCTGAAGGCTTGATTGATAGAATGGTTAAAGCAAACAACTGGTGGTGTGATAATCAAGATGATTTACACGTATTTAACTCAATTCAACATCTTTCACGAAACAGAAGAGCAGAAGATTTAGTCTTTGAATGAAAGTTATTAGCCAACTGGCGAGATTTAAATAAATACCATTGTCTTCAAAGCTAAGAGCACAGCTATTCACACATTTAGTTCAATCTTTACATGTTCACAGAAATCATCAAAACAAGCAAACAGAGGCATCATATAACCAGAGCTGAAAGAAGAATAAACCTTTGAGTTTGTTGACCAACCACTTGGTACCTCCTTCAATACTGCTAGACAACGACTGCAGGGAAGAAGAGGATATCAGATTCAGGACACATGATGCCCCATCAAAGATATGTAAGAAACGTTAACCTTTACATATCATGTGTTACAAACCACTACACATGTTTGTAACATGAGAAATAGAACTAAACGGATCCTAACACTTGATATAAGAATGAACTTCACATAGTTCAATACGCGTATTCGCCATTTCTACAACATCTCCAGAATCTTCAATCTAGTTTCCGAAAAGATTATGTTTCCTTATTCGTAAGGATGATTAGATAATATCCTAATCCCATTAAGATGCAGAAACTTTCCTAGTTTGCACGCTTGTACCTCTACAAAAGGAAAGATGATCGTAGGAAATAGGAATAAATCCACATCTTTTTCAAAACAAAGTTGTGGGGATTTATCAGTCTCAAATACCAACCACAAGTGGTATAATCAAATTCAAGGTTTCGCCAAATGGCCTATACAAATCAGCGCCGTAGATGACGAATTCATTCAAATCTCCAGAAGAACATAGATTCTTTTTTTCTGCAACGTCGTTGCTTTTGATCAACTCCACAATAAATAGCACTTGTATTAACATGTTTGTACCGATTCCGGACCCACGTAAATGCCAAATCACGAACACGCAATCAATATTAACGAAAATCACGCTCAAAACCAGCGGATCAAAACATTGTTCCTTCATCAAAACAACAAAAATATGGGAGTCAACCCTTTTCCCCGTTAAACCTAGATAAACAGAAAAGTTGAAAACCCTAAATCAACCGATATACCATGAGCTAAGGAAGCTGGAATTTCTCGGAAATTGGACTGGAATTAAAGGGAAAACTTAAAAGTAACACTCAAATCGAATAAACCATAAAAACAAATTCAAAAAAGGGAAGAAGAAGAACGTTGAAATCGTCGCCGACGGAGTTGAGCTCTTTGTTCGCCTTTCGGCCTAACCAATAGGATCCCACCTTGTTCAGTATCTGATCCATCTCGTCACCCAAACCCTAATTCTACAATCACTGCCCCTTTTCCCCTCTTTTCGTCTACCAAAAAAAAAAAGATGAAGAACGACTTATCCGGTGAGGGCGCTGAATATGAGGTCTATTTGAGGAAGTCGTTGCTTGCAATCGTTCGTACTACTCCATGACTTGCAAACGTGTCGATTACCCTTTGGCCTTTGACATGCCTCCACGTCTCTACCCTTGTAAACGGCGCACCATTGCTCCCCTCTGTCTCGAAACGGCAAGAACTCTAACCCTCCTGAAGAAAAATATATAAATTCGAATGCTAATGAGGATTTTTGAAGGCGGTGACAGAAAAATCTTCACATGGAAAAAAAAAATTGATAGGAAAAATATTAACACTAGCATAAATGCCACTAGAATGTATCTAGAAAATACTATTATTATTGATTTTGTTTAAGGTAATTGGTTATTTTTGGGGAAAAAAAAACTAAACACATGGCCTCAGTATTTAATAAAAAGTAAAGATTAATCACAAATAAAGGACCACATCTTTCTTGGAAATCTCAAAGACCAAAACTCATTTATTGCGTAAACTCATATATGATAAATGTGCAATTCTTTTTCCTTTCTTTTTTATTATCTTTTGCATTAATTTTCTCTTGTTATATATATATATATATATATATATAAGGGCCGGATAACTTGTGTGTGTGTATATAACATATGGTAGAGAGGGATGGAGCTAGGTGTGTCTATCGAGAGTGGGCCTGACTCGGCCCAATTTAACCTGAGTCCGCAGTCGTTTTCGAATATTTTGGGTTCAGGTTAAGATCGATCTATTTTTTTTTTTTTGCATCTATACACCTAAATGGCTAAATTCGAAGTTCGGTCTAATAGGATTCGGACTCCGTTCAATTTTTTCTTTGCAAACATCTTTTTAAACTTTTTGTAATATTTAAAAAAAAAAATTATTTCGAACTTTCAAACCGATCCGAATTCCGATTTGAGTTCATCTCAAAAGCAAAAATTTTTTCGAATAAAAAAACATAGACTCGAAATCCGATATTTTTCGTACATTCATTTTGTTATTGTTTTTATTTTCTTATAAAATGGCATCTCCACCTTTTGTCTTTGCAAATCTATCCAAATTAATAATTTAGCTTTACGTTTTGTCGCCGAAAAAAGCTGTGTTTTGTTGCTTTTCGCAAATTAAATAGCGGGGAATATGGAATATATTCACGCATGGCCTCAAAAACTAATTCAATTGATTTTCGTTAAAATATACATATATATATATATATATATATATTTCTCCCAACCATAGAAAATTCGATTAACGGTTTTCGAAAAATTGCAATCCGACATCTCTCTTCTAATACGGAAAAAAAAACATACACGCATACGCTTTTTCAATATTGAGTAATCGAATCCAAAAGAGAATACGGGATTAAGGATATCTGAATACATACAATACCAAACGTAAACGAAAATTGCCCGAATGGCAAAGACCATAAAGAAATATCCACCAACAAGAAGGCCGTGGGGTTTAAAGGTCACGTAATATTTTTCTCCCAACCATAGAAAATTAATTAAATCTGATTTTATTCAATAAGACTGATATATCCCCCATGAAATATTAAATATGATTCCTAAGTGTTATATATCAAAATCCCAAAGGTGAGAGATACGGTGTCACGTTCCCCGATTCCCTTGGACGTGTGAATCTTCTTCCTTCACAGGCTCATGGACCCAACAGGCAACAACCACTTGATCTTTTTTTATATATATATATATATGGTGCAAGGCCCGTGAGATGTCGTCACCCATGAGATAATATTATATTTTTCCAAAAATCAAGAAAATATTTTTGCCCCCTTTTTTTTTATTTTGTAAGACATGAATCAATATTTTTCATGTTAATTTAGGATTTGACGATCATTTACTACTGAATTGCGGTTTATGATTCGTTTGCATGGTTCGGTTACCGTTAATATTTATATGCAAAACTGTAACTGGTCGTGGTTTTAACTACGATTGGGAATTGAAAGTTCATAATATAAATGGTTTTTTTAGCGTTAAATTATCCATAGAGAAAGTTTGAATTTCGATGAATATTACAAAATTGTTGGCCACCAAGATTTTTGTAACTGCATTGTTTTTTTCTTCTCCATATTGGTTTTATTTACAGAATAACGAACATGCCATTAATCTCTGGATAGGAAATTTCATTATGCATTACGAATTGTCGGTCAATTTTGTTAATAAGACAAAGATCATAAACACTGAACCGGAACCGTATTTGTTATAGAGACAATGCAATAAATTTTTTTATGACGTCAGATTGGTTTTTATTGTGCTATTAAATGAGATCACAACGAGCCAGGAAGGTATGAAACCGAAAGGGTCAAAGTCATGAAATCGTAAGCTCCCAACGAGCAAAACGAATTGACCAAAGGGTAAGTCAGTGGGCCCATTTACCCGACCCGACCCGACCCGATGATCATGCGGCCTCTCGCAACTTGCCATCTTTCTTTTCATATATATATTTCAAAGAAGAACAAAGATTGGTCGTTCTTTAGAAAATGGAAAGATTCTTGGGTTTTTTTCGTCATGAACATCTATATAATGCTCTTTTTATGTTCAATAAACTTTGCAGTTATTCTAAAACCGATCCCAAAGATACGATTTTATATTTTATGAAACAAAATGAGAATAAAATAATTTGAAATTAAACCAAATAATTAAGGTACAAGAGAGGTTAATTAATTAATTTATGCTCTTGTCCTACGTAATATTAAACTTGAAAACGGAGAATTGGATCCATCGTGATTTCATCAATAACTCCATAAACAAAATACCGATACGTATTTTGCGAAGTTGGGAAGGAATATTCTCACACCACTACGTTTAACCTGGTTGTTCCTTACATAATTTTACAACAAAAAATCAAAGATATGTAAAATTTAATAATAAATTCATCATATAAATGATGATATAGCAATGCATTTTTTTTTAGTTTGAACGAAGAAGTTTCTAATTTTACGCGTACGCATCTTGTTTGTTTCTGTCTTTTTTTTCTACACAACTTGTTTCGGGTTTTATTTGGCTCAGCGAAATAAAAATCGCATATAAATACCAAAACTTTTACAAAAATCTCAAATAAATACTTTAATTATAAAATTTCCATATAAATATCTAAATCTTTCTAAAATTCTATATAAATAACTAGATTTCTGAAAATTTTCTAAATAAAACTAAAATCTGTCAATGACATCACTAATTTTTATTTGAAAAATATCTAAAATTTTTATTTATTTGAATTTTTTTTTAAAATCTAAATATTTCTACAGAATTTTTAAAAATTCAAATATTTATATAAAAATTTGATAATTTAGATATTTATTTGAGTTTTTCATACAAATTTAGGTATTTATATACTTTGACTAAAAAAACGAAGGCGCAATTGATTTGAAATACAAGGGCAGAAGCGTAATTTAACACATGCAACTAGGCTGAGTTTCGTCACCGCCCACATGAAAATTTCTCTCTCTAGAACCCAGCACTGGGGAGAGAAACAGCACATCCAACTCTCTGGTAATCGCTGTAAAGTTTAAATCTTTCGAAACCTCTTTTCTTTCTTTTTCCCTTCTTTATATACAACATTGGTTTGCCCCAATCCAACTCTTGAATCTGCATACTTCGCATAAACCAACCAAACAAGAACAGATTCCCACAAACCCTAAACCCGAATCAGATCAAGAAGATCGGAAAACAAGAAGCAGAAGTTTGACAAACCATTGCTAAGGTCGAACATGCTCGCTCATCCACCCAAACCTTCAGCTCTTCCCGTCCACTGGCTGGTCAGGACATCCGACGGCGCCACCGACTCCGGCGAGAAGGTGACGTGGCACGCCGAGTTCGAGAGACGCTGCCCTTCTCTGTCCAGCGAATCCGCGGCGGCGCGTTACCACACGCACGAGGTGGGGCGAAACCAGTGCTGCTCCGCCGTGGTGCAGGAGATCGCTGCCCCCATCTCTGCCGTGTGGTCCGTCGTCCGCCGCTTCGACAACCCTCAGGCCTACAAGCACTTCGTCAAGAGCTGCCACGTCATCCTCGGAGACGGCCACGTCGGCTCCCTCCGCGAAGTCCACGTCGTCTCCGGCCTACCCGCCCCCAGCAGCACCG